TCTATGAAAAAGTTGTAAAACACTTAAATATATAATAAAACTACAAATAGTCACAACAAGAATCAATAAATTTACCTAATGCATAAATGTGTTAAAAAAAATAGGTAAGTTTACTTATTTAGTGTAGTAAAACTTCAAAAAAATTAAATCAAGAGAGGAATGTCGGTATTATTGCTAGATGCAGGTCAACGTTATGGGTTTGAAGTGACTGAATTTATAAGGATGGTGGCCAAATTTGTGAGAAAATAGGAGGAGGGGGTTACTCTTTTTTAGGCAAGAAGAAGAAAGTGGGGTGAATAAGGAACTATCAGGTTTCATTTTATTTGATTTTTTGATGAAATTTTAATTGATAATTTTGTTAAAAATAATAATATATCATATTTCCAATGAAATTATTGATAGAATTTCTAAAAAAAATTACTAACAAAATAAATTCCATCACAACTTTCATTGATAATTAGTGTTGAAATTCTTTTTATTGTTATTTATGTATAAAGTATCAATGAAATATTTTTCAAAAGAGCTTTTGTTACTCTTTGTTAATTTTATGGTGGTGACCTGGTGCATTCCCTTTTAATGTTATAAAAGCTATAAAGATAGGAAGTCCCTAATTTTAGTAATTTAGATAGGTCTTTTTCTTTTTCTTTTTTAACCATATTGCTTAGATAGGTGTTTGGATGTGTTGGAGATTATGAAAGGAAGGGCAGCAGGTTAAAAGGTCTCATTATGGTTTTGAGATGTGATGGTTTGCTTCCTATGCTTTTAAGACTATAATATTAAATGCCACAAGTTTTCTCTGTAATTTTTTTAGACAAAATATCATACATATGTAGAATATAAAGAGGTATGGTTTGTTTTGGGAAGCCTCTATTTTAAACTTACATGTGCATGTGTTGCATGAGAGCGTGTTGCTTAATAGACCAACTCTTATCAAACTCCACTAGGCTATAGGTATGGTTTAAGATATAACAAGCAAAAGTAGAAGGCAATATAATTGAAAAATATCATTGTTATTTTTTAAGTTTATTTTGTCTTAGTTTCCAACACATAAGAAAATAAAAATAAATAAATAAAAGGGAATTTTTTTATTATTAATTTGACATGGCTAAGTCCTTCAAAAATATTTTTAGAAAAATTTATTTTATCATGTTTAGCATTGTACAATAAAAGTATTTGTGTTTTTTTTTTTGACATTTTTACAAAAGAAAGGAAAAAAAAATGGTTTATCATTTTTCCATGTATTTTTTAACTTTATAACAAGTTTATAGAGCTCATTAAAACTTGACCCAAATTAAAAGGCCTATTAGGCCAATATACCTAAAATCTTACCAAAAAAACCCTCAATTTAGTTTTTCCAAAACCCATTATAAAACTATTTTTCCATTCAATTTTAAGATTTAAGGTAAATGGATTCACAATGACTTGTTGCCTTGTATATTAAGTGGGGTAGCAAATTCCCTTGATTTTTTATATAATAAAACTTTTTAAATTTAATATTTATTTGCATAAATCATGAGTATTAAAGTTTTAGTGTGTAATATTCAACAATTTTAAAATTAAAGATACTATTTTTCATTCTAATATTCATTAATATTATAGTTAGGAATATCGAGTATTCTTTGTGTAATATTCACTAAGACTAGAATTGAGTATTCTTTGTGTAATATTCACTAAGACCAGAATTGAGAGTATTATTTTCAGTTCAGTATTCATTGATATTAAAGTTAAGAATATTAAGCTTTTTCGGTATAATATTCACCAAAGCTAGAATTAAAAATATTATTTTCAATTTAATATTCACTAATATCAAAGTAAAAAATATTAAGGTATTATAGGACAAGTGAACCTCATCAAGTTCCTTTCATAGACTTTAGGACAACCAGGTTTCAACCACTAATAAAGGTTTAACTTACCGTAGTAAACTTGTTATCACCACTGATAAATTAAGCACAATAGACTATTAGAAATTTAAAACAAGACCAATAATGCATCTTTTTTTTTATGTAAGATATTTTATGATGTGATATCTTTTCTCTAGTATAACTAGACTCTTATCATATATTTTTGTTGACCAATTAAGGTTTTTAGTCACTATAATACTAAGTAATAACTCCTTTACAAAGATCACACCTTCCTCCCCTCTCAAAACATTAAAAAAGACTCTTTTCCTGTATATTTAAGAAAAAAGAACATGTCACTGTAATATAGGTGCAACAAATTAAATTAGTTAAAACTAATTAGTCATCTAAACTAGAGTTTTGATTAGAATTTAACAAAACAAATTGTGTTCTAGCAAACTCTCTTCCTTCTCTCATATAAATCATCTATTTAGAATACATTCCCTAATTTTTCCAACTATTTTTGTTTTGTTTTTTTCATTCTTTTCCTCTTCTTATTCTTTATTTTTTTTCTATAAATAATAAGTTGTAAATCTATATTTTCTATTTTTTTAATAAAAATACTATCTAGATTAGTTATATACCAAATCTTTCTTTTGTGTGTTTTTAGGTGGATCTAAATTATATATCTATATTTTCATATGTGTATTATTTGTCTTCTTATTATTATAGTTTTGGTTCCATACTTATTAGAGTTTTAATCATTTTTAATAAAAAATGAGTGATAGTTTCTAGTTGATTTTAAGATTTTGATATAGTTAAACATGTGTTATTCCATACTTATTAGAGTTTTAATCATTTTTAATAAAAAAATGAGTGATAGTTTCTAATTGATTTTAAGATTTTGATATAGTTAAACATGTGTTAATATTTCTTAAGCGAGACTTGAGACTTAATAATGTGACATGTTTTCAACTAATTAATATTGATTAAAACTCATTTTGAAACATATACAAATACACAAAAAAATAAAGTTAAATATTGTTCACACACTTGTAATACATTATGGCTTCTTTTATTTATTTATTTTTTATTTTGGTTTCTTGACTCTTTTTTCATGTATGAATCCTTTAATTGAAAAATTAATAGCCCATAGCTTTTTATTTATTGGTTAGGAACAAAATTAAAAGAAAAGAGAACCAACTTAGATAAAGTGTTGAAAATAGATAGCGTGATTAAAGTTGATTAGAAAACTACAATTTAGTCCTTCAATTTCTAAAATTATATCTTTTTGGTCTTTATTTTTTTTCTAAATTCAATTCCAATACAAAACATTATTTTTATTATTTTTCAATTCTCAGTTTGTGAAGGAGAGAGTAAGTTTCATTGGATTTTTGCATAAAGAGAGAAAGTCATTATTTTCGCATATCTAGCTATTAAATTGGTTAATCTTAGTGTATATAGGATCTATTTAATGAAAATAACTTAATGATGGTTACTTAAAACCTCAATAATATCTAAAAAATTTATCAAAGTCGAGGAAGAAAAATTTAATCCGATTTGATCTCATGTTTTAAGACCGTTTCTTATGGTTTCTTAGGTAAAGAAATTGCTTTCTATGTATTTTTAGGGTGTTTATTAGGTTTTTCATTTTTGTTAAAAAGGCTTACAAGATAAGTTTTTAGAGAAAAAATAAGTGTGCTTTTATTTTCTAGTCGCCACAGCAATAACCACAATCTGGACATATAAATGACATGTTGTTTGAGATGATGGTTATGTCATCTAATTTTTTTTTAAAGGTAAATGATAGGCCGTCCACCTCTTAAAAAGACAAAAAAAAATTGTTAGACACAAACACACATACCTAAGCTTTTTTTTTGTATTTTTCATATTCTTTTTTCTTTGTAAAATAAATTTAAGTAAATTTTTTATTAGACCTGGTTTAGTCCTTGACATCAATTACAATTTTAACAGGTTAAGACACAACATTTAAGATCTTTTTTTTATTTTATTATTTGATGCACTTTTCCCTTAATTTAAAAAAAAAATTTAACCATTTGTTATTATTTATTTATTTTTATTTAACTGAAAATAAAAAAATGCATTTTCACCCCCTTTTTATCATTTAGCTTAAAATGTTATGCTTAATTGAGATCATGTTCATATCTTAGGTTATAAGATTTGTCAATTATTCCAAGTTGATCAGATTCAGTACAATATAAAATATTTTTAAAATTTTATTATTTATTTTTTAATTTACTAAAACATTTAATCCAATTCATTATCAATTAAGACTTAGCCCAACCAATAAGAAAATACGATAAGAAAAAGAGATAGATTTTCTATTTTTAATGCATTGATATAAAAAAATATTTTAATATATTTTTAAATAAAAAAATAATTTTAAAAAAACTTTACACCACATTATTAAACATAAACTAATTTTTTTTTTAAAAGTAATTTTTTTAGTAAGTAAATTCTTAAAAAGTAAATTATTTTTTGATATTTGGTAATGTCATTGAAAATAAATTGAAAAATATTTTTTGATTTTTGATTACATAATAGAAAATGAGCTGAAAAATAAATTATTAATTTTTTTTTTAAATTTATTAAAATAATGATAAATAAATCTTAGAAATTAAAAAGTTTAATGAGAATAAAATTAAAAAAAATCTAATTTTATAAATTATCTCAATTAAAATAAATAATAAAAAAATAAAATCTAATAGATAAAAAAATTAAAAAATAATGAAATTAAAATAATAATAGTAATTATATTTTCATAAATTATTTTAAATTAAATAAATAACAATAAAAAGAATGAGAGGATTAAATTTGATATATAAAAAATTTTAATTAAAAAAAAGTGAATAAAAATTATAAAAATAAAAAATAAAATAATATAAAAATTAAATTAAATTTAAATGGATGAAAATTTAAAAAATTTAAAATAAAATATATAGTAATTAAAATTTTAAAAATTAAATTTGATATAATAATCAATAAATATTATAATATTTTTAAACTTCTTTACAATTTATAAAAAGTATAAGAAAAATACTTTGTTATTATTTTTTAATTAAAAATATTTTTTAATGATAAATTTATTTATAAAAAATAAATATAAAAAATTTAAAAATCATTTTCCATTAAACAAACTTACGTAAGCTGCCATTCATCTTTGAGGACGAGGAAGGCGACCAGGCTGGAGAAACAGGGGCGAGGCAACACCGAAGAAGAAGGGGTTGTAGAGAGAAGTCCATAAAAATCAGTGGTGATTTTCTGTTTTTTTCTTTTGAGATTAGGGTTTTAAATTGAATTCTTGTTTTGTTTCAATGATTTGTCCTTTCCTTAAAAAAATACAGAAGAGAGAGGGACAAGGGAGGCGACCATGCTGTAAAAAGAGGGGCGAGACAGCACCAAAGAAGAAAAAAGGCTGCTTAGAGAAGTCCACAAATCAGTGGTGATTATCTGTCTTTCCCTTTTGAAATCGAGGTTGCAAATTGTTTTTTTTTTGTTTTAATGATTTTAATTTTTTGTTTTGGAATAAGGGTGTGGAGAGAGAGTGTGTGTGTGGAGTTTTCAGCGGCTCTGACTAAATTAGGAATCACAAATTATGGATCAAAATCATGTAAGACCTGACATGATTTTTTTTATTGATTATTTTATAAATATCTTGCTTTAATTTTATGACTTATCCAACAATTGAATTTGACAAGAGTTTATTTTTAGTGATTTCTCTGATCACAACATTGGCAACTACCCTAAAGAGGGTTAATTTCCTAAAAACAATTGTTGAGAGCTTTAGCTATTGGACCCACCATTGAACCTTGACAAGGTTTTTTCTTCCCTCGTCTTTCTTCTTTTCATTAATTATTTTCCAGCCTTTGCTAATTGTTTTCTTTACCTTTCATTGATGTAGAGGTTGTTGGAGTGCATTGGTGATTCAATGGTGGTAAAAATGTGGAATCTTGATTTCTGGGTTGGTGTAGTGAGGATTTCGAGAGAGGGAACCTCTATTGAGTGAAACTTTGGAAGTGATAATGGAGGAGGAAGAGGAGGAGGAGGATTAGTCAGCTATGATGGGCTTTTGGTAGGGTTAGATAATTGTTATTGTGCTAGTGATGGAGTGGAGGGCTGCTGGTGGTGGTAGTGATGGAATACTAATTTTCTTTTAAAGCCTTGATTTTTGCATATAAGACTTCTTTTTCTATTTTCACATTTGAATTGTTTCGATGTGTTATTTACACTTTATTATCATAAATTGGTTTATTAGTTAACAAAAAATTAAAAGAGATCAGTAATATATTGAGAGCTTTAATGTGGACTCAAATTGTTTTCCTTTTTTAATTTCTCATCTTGCATTTCATAAAGATTTCTTCTGCTCCTCTTTCTCAAACTTTTTTTCCAGCTCATATCATAATTTTAATTTTTTTCCCTTCTTTTTGTAAACCAGATTGATGGAAGAGAGGGTGAACACAGAGATGTAGAATGATGTGTAAAAGAAGCACGTTGGGCTTCTAGATCTATGTCTTTTCATTTCATCGACTTTTTTTTTTTTTTTGGAAAACCAGATCGATGGAAGAGAAAAAGGATGAGCACAGAGTTGTAGAGAGAATGATATTCAGAATAAGCACTTTGGGCTTCTGGATCTGCAGTTTTTAGTTCGATTTTGATGACAGAGGAATGTTTTGACCAGATAATTTTCTTCTCATTATTTGATGTTGTTCTGTCCGAAGTCTTTTTTCATTGGATGCTGTCTTTTTAGTTTCACCTCAGATCGTGTTATGTTGCATTTCGTTGTTCTTTACACCTATTGTTTGATTATACCTGTTACTGCACTTGTGCTCATATTTTTTCCATCCATGTGCCTCTTTTGCCCCCTTTTCATCATTTGATTTTTGCTGTGAATAGATTGTGATAAATAAACTTAGATTTTTTTTATTGGTTGGAGGGAAAAAAGGGTGAGTTTTGTTTAGAATGAATGAGAGGAAGAGGAGGAGAGCGTGCAAGAAGATGAATTAGGTGAGTAAGTGAAGTGGAAGGGAGATAGACTATGCCAAGTGTTTATGTTAGGGTTCCAGATGGTTGGTGCTTTGGCTGATGCTGATGCTGATGCTGATGCTGATGCTGATGCTGATGCTGATGCTGATGCTGATGCTGATGCTGATGCTGATGCTGATGCTGATGCTGATGCTGATGCTGATGCTGATGCTGATGCTGATGCTGATGCTGATGCTGATGCTGATGCTGATGCTGATGCTGATGCTGATGCTGATGCTGATGCTGATGCTGATGCTGATGCTGATGCTGATGACATGCCTATGTCTGGTATGGTCTATTTTTTGTGGGTCTTCTTACTGAATTGTTGCCTGTTTTGGTTCTTATTTGGCAATCTCTGCATTTTTACTGGTCTTTCCCATCTATTGCGGTTTAGTTTTTCCCTGCTTGGTTTATGAATTTTTTTTACTGTTTTCATTGTGATGTGCAAGTTGTTTTACCCTTCTTTCTAGGGTCTATGGTCTGTGTTTGAGGGGGTTTTGAATCCTTTTTTACCCTCCACTCATCTATGTTCTCTGCCAGCTTCGAGTCATTCTCTATTGCTGAGCTTCTTATTCACCATGAATGTCATCTGCCCCTTTTCCTGGATTAAAAAAAAAAAACAAGGAGGAGGAAAGCCCATGATTTCACATGTATTGTTGATTGAGAATTTATTGTGATCTTGAATATCTCTGATTTTATGTTCTCCTTTCACCTCAATTTTGTATGTATTGTTGATCTTCAGAATGTATTATGATCTTGAATATCAATGATTTTGTGTTCTATTTACCTCAATTTCGTGGTTTTTGGTTACCTAGTTGTAGGAGTTCATTTTGAATGAACCGGAGGGTTATGAAATCAAGATTGAGGATCAAGTTTTTCGGTAGACTTGGAGTAACACGAGTGACATGTGCTTTATTCGTGAAAATTTAAATTGGCATAAAATGAGTGATTTCCTGGTTTGGTGAAGTCCATGATCACTTGAGCTTTTTATTGAAATCAGTGAGCTGAAGAAGGTTAATCCTAGGAATGCTATCTCTTTCCTCTCTTTTTTTCTGAGTGTTGTAGCTCCAATCCCCTGTACCAGTTAATCAACATTATATTATGGTTGGTGTTTAATATTTTGTCATATAAATAAATAAATAATTATTTAAGAAAAATAAAATTATTAAATTATCTGAAATTCATTATATTAATTGTGATTTTAGCGTATTAACTTGGATTGAATTATTTTGGTTTATTTTGTATAAAGATGTTATCATCTTGAGTAAATATTTTGATATTGGATTAATACCTAGTTTTGTGAATATTTTTTTATTATATAATTAAATAAAAAAATAGTTATAAGGTGAAATTTGTTTTCTGTAAAGATGTTATCATCTGGGTTAAATTAGTTCATTTATAAAAATGATTCAAAATTTATATTAATAAACCTAAAAATATAGATCAAAACAAACCTTGAAAATTTATACTAATAATTATAAATAATCTAAAATTTATACTAATAAACATGAAAGTATAAATCAAAACAAACCTTGTACTACAACTAAAAATTAATTAATAATTAAGCTCAAACAAGGTTAAAGATTTAAGCTTTAAGTCTTAGCTAATTAGTAAAATCTAAAAACATGAATTAATAATGAAAAACTAAGTGTTAAAATTCTCTCTATATTGTTAAAACTTAAATAGAATTAAAATAAATAAAAATCAATTAAATTAAATTAAAGTATTTATAGAACCCTTAGCTACCATATATATTATAGGAAAGAAGAGAGAAGTTGCTGCCCAAATATTTCCTATTCATGCTGAAATTAAATGTCCTATGTAGCTAAGGAAACGATTTTAATCTGCTGCCAAATATTCCTTATAATGTAAGGAAAAATTGCCATCATTTCCAAGCTCATGTTGTAGATGGATTGGACTCTCCTTGTACTCGAAATGGACTAGCATCTTCTCTTAATACTCTAATATATATTCTAAATCATAACTAGTCTAAATCCTTGTAACAATCTTATTCATTTCATTCTTTCAATGCTTTTGTCTTTTACCTTATGATTGTTCTAGTTGGAAAATCTAATGGATTTCAATAATATTTGTAAATTGATTTATATTAGGTTATTAAATCCAGTATAATTTATAACCCGAGTTATGAATTTCATAAGTTAACTTAAATTGATTGAGAATTAATTTTTATAGTTTATTTTGATTTGCTTTATGTAATGTTATCATTATTTCAAATAAATATCTTCATATTAAGTTGTTTCTCAATTTTAAAAGTATTTTTTTTGTTATCCTATAACTAAATAAAAAATAGTTTTTTAACAAATATTAAACTCGATTTAGTTTATGACTCAACTATGAATCTCCAATTGATCTAATATTTCGGTTGATTTAATGTTTCACTGTTTTAATATTTTTTTAAAAAAATATTATCTTATTTTTTTTTTAAATTATTTTATATTTTTTGTTAAATATCGAAATTAACTTTAAACATAACAAGTTGATTTTATCAATTAAGGACAACTCTCTTATAATTTATTTTAAAATTCAAGCTCGGTAAAAATCATATTACAAAATTTTAAAATTAACTTGTTAACTATATAAAAAAAATTTATATGAAAAATATTTTGGTGTGGTCTACAGCCACCTATATAGATCTAGTTATGCATGGATTGTGTTAACTAGTGAATATAACAAGGGAAATATAAAAGCTACGTAATCTGAAAAAAGAAACATAGAAAGTCTCCAACCTTAGGAAAGAAAGTTGCGGGAAATAATGAAATTGAAATCAATGCAAGGGAAACAAAATGACAAAGAAAAAAAGGAGAAGAGAAAGGAAAAGGGAAAAAAGAAAAAAGAAAAAGTGAAAGGAAGAGCCAATAAATGATGCCATCTTGACGTGATGCATATTCCATAAGCTGCAAAGTGTATTTGCCTTTTAAATCACTTTTTAGACAAGCTCCTATTTTTCGTTTTCCTTGTAACAAAATCGAAACCACTGAAATGTAATTTTATTTATTTGGTATTTTTTTCCTTTCCACTTTCTTTGTGTTTAATTTATTTTTGTTAGGGTTAATTATGTTGCCCTTCCTTTTATTATCAATTTTTTATTAGTTGAATTTATTTATTATTAATAAATGAGGTTGCGTTACTATATATTATATTGCCATTCGACACATATCCAAAATATTTCAGATAAATAAAAAAGAAAAATTAACTGTTAGTTTTTTTTGCCAAATTTTATTTATTAATTGCTAGAAATTATTTATCATATTTTTTATTTACATTGAATTTTTTTAATCATTTTAAAAAGACAAAAAAAATTAAAGATAAAAATTGTTAATCTTTTGTTAACTTATTCTTGATAAAAATCATGCCTATAAAAAAACACACAAATTGAATCAAGTTTGTTTTATTAATAAATAAATATTTTTATTCTTTATTAATGAAGTAAAAAAATATACACTATTTTTCAAAACAAAGTAAGTAAAATTTTAAAACATAAAACATTTTATAACATGTCATCAATTTAAGATTGCTCTCAAGTTAAAGGACTTGAATGTTAATACAATACGGAGCAGAGATACCTCGTTATTAACAAATTGACGGAACTAATCAAAGCTCAATAGTAGATATACGCAAAACATAATTAACCATTTTTTTAGTTCTTACTATTAAAGTGTTCACATGTTGTTACGTGATGCTTTTTAGAAATTATTTTTATTTATTTAATAGATACTAGAGTAAATATTTATAAGAAAGACAATGATTAAATTTATGGTGGAGCAATGTATTGTCTTAGTCAAAATTATCTTTTCTTATCATATTTTTCTTTTGTTTTGAGAATTACAATTTTTTTTATTAATAGCGTAATTTATTCATAAAAAATAATGATAGTTAAAAAAAAATATGTTTATTGTGGCACTTTAGATCAAGGTTCTATTACTTCAAGAGAAGCTTTAAAAGACAAGTTAAAAAAAAATCTTTATTAAAAAACTATACAATCTCGAACATATAAAATCAAGACTTTCATGAAAAACATTATTTTCATGAAAAACATTATTGGGAAATGATGCCTATAAAAAAACACACAAATTGAATCAAGTTTGTTTTATTAATAAATAAATATTTTTATCCTTTATTAATGAAGTAAAAAAAATAAACACTATTTTTCGAAATAAAGTAAGTAAAATTTTAAAACATAAAACATAACATGTTATCAATTTAAGATTACACTCAAGTTAAAGGACTTGAATGTTAATACAATACAGGGTAGAGATACCTCGTTATTAACAAATTAACGCAACTAATCAAAGCTCAATGGTAGATATACGCAAAATATAATTAACTACTTTTTTAGTTTTTACTATTAAAGTGTTCACGTGTTATTACGTCATGCTTTTTGAAAATTATTTTTATTTATTTAATAGATATTAGAGTAAATATTTATAAGAAATCCAATTATTGGATTTATGGTGGAGCAATGTATTGTATTAGTCAAAATTATCTTTTCTTATCATATTTTTCTTTTGTTTTGAGAATTACATATTTTTTTTATTAGTAGCATAATTTACTGCATGAAGAATAATGATAGTTATAAAAAAAATATATGTTTTTTTGTGGCTCTAGTGGCTCTTTAGATCAAGTTTCTATTACTTCAAGAGAAGCTTGCGAAAATTCTAATGATTTGAATTAAAAAAATAATTTTTTTAATTAATGTATTTCTTTTTTTTTTTGTTTTAATGAAAACATATATTTTTTATTAGAAGTTTCTTTTAAATAAAAATTTATTATGATTATAAAAGCAAGTCTCAATAAAA